AAAAAAAAAAAAAAAGCAGTTACTCCTCATTCTTCTTCCCACACTCCAGCCCCTGGCAGCTATTTATCTGATTTCTGTCTCTCTGGATTGGCCTGTTCTGGACATGTCATAGAAATGGGATCACACACTGTGTAGCCTTCTGTGTCTGGCTTCTCTCACCTGAGCCTGACGTCCTCAAGGTTCTTGCTGTAGCCTGTGTTAGAGCCTCATTGCTTTTCATGGCTGAGTCATATTTCCGTTGCATGGATATACCACATTTTCCTTATTCAGACACTGTATTGATGGCTTTAGACACATGATCTCCTGCGAGGTTGGTAGTCTTATTGCACCCCGTTTTGCAGGAGAGGAAACTGAGGCCCAGAGAGGTCAAGCAAGTTGCTCGAGGTTGCACAGCTGCTGGTGGTGTAGCCAGGATTCCAATCCAGGCAGTTTCATCTAGGGTCTGCAAGTTGAACCCCTACCTTCTACCCCTCTAACAGTTTAGTATTCAGAGACAATGTAGCAATTATTATCATTTTTTTAAAGATGGAGTCTCACTCTGTCACCCAGGCTGGAGTGCAATGGTGTAATCTCAGCCCACTGCAACTTCTGCCATCCGGATTCAAGCGATTATCCTGCCTCAGCCTCCCGAGTAGCTGGGATTACAGGTACCCATCACCACGCTCAGCTAATTTTTGTATTTTTAGTAGAGACGAGGTTTCACCATGTTGACCAGGCTGGTCTTGAACTCCTGACTTCAAGTGATCTGCCTGCCTTCGCCTCCCAAAGTTCTGGGATTATGGGCGTGAACCACCGTGCCCAGCCCAATCCAGGCAGTTTGATGCACAGTCTGCAAGTTGAACCCCTACCTTCCACCCCTCTAACAGTTTGGTATTCAGAGACAATGTGGCAATTATAATGTATCTCTCGGTCATTTTCCCAGGAAAGGATGACAAGACGCAGACAGGAGCTTGTGGCGGTCACCCAGCGAATCGTCCCCAGCTAGGGCTGGAACTGAAGACTCAGGCCTGGGGAGGAGTCAGTTCAGAAGCCTTGCGGGTCTTCTCTGACGCCTGCCTGGCTCCCTTGCGTATGTTTTGGAGAAGTTTTTTGTAGGGAGGCAAGTGAGGGACGAGGGCAGAACTAAAACGCTGCAATATTCAAGGGCTCAAATGGTGGTTGTCTCCCACCAGGGAGGGCAGGGGGCTGCCAGAGAGAACCTTGATTATTTCCTGCACCTTAATGGGTCCTTCCTAAGAGAGTGGCTTTGGTTTCCATGACAACAAGCTGGCAGCATCAGAGCAAGATGGTGGAGTCTCCTCCCCCGACCCACATCTGGTTCTGGAATCTCTATTCCTGTCATTCCAAATCGCAGGAATCCAGCTGTGGCTCAGCCCAAGACCAGAGCGGGCAGCCGGGCAGTGGGCAGCGCTCCTTCTCTGTGGCCTGGCAGGCAGGAGGACCTCTGGCCCTGCCCCACGCTGGTAAGGAAGAGATGAATGGACAGACATAGCATATGCCGGGCCTGGCACAGTGGCTTATGCCTGTAATCCCAGCACTTTGGAAGGCTGAGGCAGGCGGATCACTTGAGGCCAAGAGTTTGAGACCAGCCTGGCCAACATGGTGAAACACCATCTCTACTAAAAATACAAAAACTAGCCAGGTATGATGGCACGTGACTGTAATCCCAGCTACTTGAGAGGCTGAGACAGGAGAATGGCTTGAATCTGGGAGGTGGAGGTTGTAGTCAGCTGAGATTGTGTTATTGCACTCCAGCCTGGGCAACAAGAGTGAAACTCTGTCTCGAGAAAAAAAAAAAAAAAAAAAGCTACAGCCAAAAAGGGAGCAGTGGGTCACGCCTGTAATCCCAGCACTTTGGGAACCCAAGGAGGGATGATTGCTTGAGGCCAGGAGTTCAAGATCAGCCTGGGCAACATGGCAAGACCATGTCTCACCAATAAGTAAATGAATAAAAAATTAGTTGGGTGTGGTGGCACATGCCTGTTGTCCTACTTGGGAGGCTGAGGAAGGAGGATTGTTTGAGCCCTGGAGCAGGAGGCTGCAGTGAGCCATGACTGTGCCACTGCACTCCAGCCTGGGTGACAGAACAAGCCCCTGTCTCAAAATAACAGCAACAAAACAAACAAGCAAAACAAAACAAGACAAAAAAACTCTACAGCTAACAGCACACTTAAGGGTACAAGACTGAATGCTTTCCCCCTAGAATGGGACTAAGACAGAGACGTCCAGCTCTGTCCCCCAGGCTGGAGTGCAGCGGTGCGATCTCAGCTCACTGCAACCTCCACCTCCTGGGTTCAAGCAATTATCATGTCCCAGCCTCCCATGTAGCTGAAATTACAGGTGTGCACCACCACACCTGGCTAATTATCGGCGGGTAATTTTAGTAGAGACAAGGTTTCGACATGTTGGTCAGGCTGGTCTCAAACTCCTGGCCTCAAGTGATCCACCCGCCTCAGTTTTCCAAAGTGCTGGGATAACAGAGCCACTGTGTCCAGTCGACTCTCATATTTTCTTCCTTTTCTTTTTTTCTTTTTTCTTTTTTGAGACAAAGTCTCACTCTGTCACCCAGAATGAAATGCAGTGGCGCTATCTGGGCTCACTGCAACCTCCGCCTCCTGGGTTCAAGTGATTCTCATGCCTCAGGCTCCCGAGTAGCTGGGGTTACAGGTGCCCACCACCA